CAATAGGGTTTAGAGAAGTACCCCAGGGGAAAGTGTAATTAAGTGTTAAATGACTGTGTCAATACACGTGTCACCTCACATCGGAGGCAAAGGAAAGACAGGGGACTGACTTACAGTTACATTAAGAGAAGACGTCATCAGATTACTCTTGCATTTAAAAAAATATATAGGTAGAAGTACTGCTTGAATTTTCCTTTTGGTTTTCATTTAGGCTACTTTCATTCTTATTTTTTGTTAATATCTTTTTTGAATGCAGTAGTTGGACACCTGATTTATTAAAACAAAATTGCTTGAATGGATATTTTAAACTAAAACACTTTTTGTAAGCTCTACTATTCTGTAGGGTTAGCCTGAATATCAGGAGGACAGATTTTTGATACTAAATAACCATTTTTTATTTTCTTAGGTAACATTGTTCTGCTCTCTTGCATAATACAACTAAGTAAAAAACATCTCATTATTATTTATTGTATCTTTTATTTATTTGCATTGCATTTGATGTTGAGGTAAACCAAAAGAAATAGAAAGTAACCAGGTCACAATATATTGTGATACTTAAATTATGTAAATGGTTACATTTTTTCCAGTAACTAGTCATTGTAAAGGATTACATTTTTAAAGTGACCCTCCCAACCCTGCATATGAGTGGGCATAGTCTGACAAATCATACTATAGTGTAAGGTCAGTAGACAGAAGAGAGTAAGACATTGAGATTCATACCATATGTTATGCTGTTGCTAAACAAACAAGAGGAATACTGGAGAATAAGGAGGCGGTGAAAAGCGGGAATCAGGGAGAAAACAACTGGCTGAGCGGGGAAATGAGGCCAAATGAGGAAACGCAGAGTGAGAATTAAGGAAAGCTAAAAAGACATGAGGGATGAGAGAAAAGGGTGGTTGAAAAGGAAAGCAGGAGAAGAGATCAGAGAAAATGCGCGAAGACAGCAACAGAGACAGTAAACAGTCCAACGAATCAAGACCAAAAACAGGAAGAAAGGACATGACATGGTGAGAAAAGGAAATGAGGTCAGTGTAGATGTCAGCTAGAGGAGGAGATAATTGCTTTGTTGTTCCTCCTCTTTCTTTCTCTCTCCTTCTCATCTGTCGTTCTGTGCCCAATCCTGTCTTGTGTCACGGCAGCAGATGCATATAGTACGGAGAACATGAGAGGAAGAAGAGAAAGATGAGGGAAGAGGGGACAGGATTCCACCACTCCTTTATTTTCCTTCCCTCTCTCCCGGGTGCTAATAATTACTCGTTTCTGTGTCACCAGCCTGAACAAAGCACTCCCTCGTGTGTCTGTGTGTATGTGTATGTGTATGTGTATGTGTATGTGTGTGAACAGGGCCGCAAATACAGGGGTGGTAATGAGAACAACACCCCTGCCTCTTTAAGCATAACCGCTCAATCTATTCATTTCATTTCACAGCAGCGCTCCGAGTTCTGATGGGTGCACTTTATGGTCGTGAACATATATTGGTCTCACCGCAATGAGGATTAAGGTGATTATAATTGCATACGCCCACAATGTGTGCGAGTGACAACAGGGCTGTATGTATGGTTATAAATGTATTATGCATTGAGCGGTGGAGAGGAAGCAGATCAAAGATGCATGTGTTGGCAAATCTGGCCTTGCATGTATATTTCAGTGAATTTGTTTCTCTTCCGCAAAAACAACAAGAGAGGTGATTCACGATCTCATAATGGAGGGAGAGGTGGTGCAGCGGAGGAGGAGAGTGGTGATATACAGAGAGGGGGGGGGGGGGACATAAGATGTTGGAGAGTTGACAGGGATAAAGGAAGAGAGGAGAGGAGACGGTGGAGAGGAGAGTAGGAGTGACCTTGGATGCTAAATAATGGTACACGGTTATAACGGTGGCTAATAGAGATATAGAACAGTGACTGCAAATAAAAAGAGGAGAGGCTTTGGGGGTCAGATAGAGCCCGGTGAGAATAACAGAAGGATTTGCAGCGAGGAGATCTGATTGGCTGCAGATATACAGAGGACGTAAGATAAAGAGAGAGAAAGATGAGGTGCAGAGGAACTGAAGTCAAATGATATAAAAGGTCGGGAATGGAAGAGAAAAGGAATGCACTGCTGCAGATTTAGGGAATGACAGGATGGGCGACTACAAAGCAATGAAAAGGGCACAGGGTGTGAAGAGATAAGGGTGAGGGACTGATCAGAGAAAAGAAGGAAATCTGTTTATAAAGGATGGATTAAAGGAGAATAAGGAGGATGGATCCAGGGAAAGGAGCTGAAAAGAGGGATAGAGGAAGGGATTGAGGGAATAAAGGAAGGGGTAGTGAATGACAGGATTAGCAAAACGACTCTAGGCTCTTCTCAAGGTGCGTGTGAGTCATGGTCACACAATGGAGAACCAATTGAACAGTTAGATTTCACGCATATAGATAAATCCATTCATACCACAACCATATTATCAGGAAGTGGAAAGGGATTCAGCACAAATGTAACTTATATAAGACTTTGGCAATGCAGTTTTTTACAGTCCAATAAAGCATGCAACAGTACGTCTGCAATATTAATCAAACCGAGACAGTGTGCGACCAGGGTAAAGATGGGAAAAGAAAGGGCGCGAGGAACCAGTGCGCATCAACACGGCTATGAATCAAAACCTTTTTAATGTTGCAGGAACCGGCCCTCAGCCGAGTACACCACTCCCCGGTGATGGTCAAGTCTGCGCCTCGCGGGCTCTATCAATTATATACAGACACACAAAGGCTGCGGATTAACCGACACCACTGTGATATTTCTCAGGCCCCTGTTATAAGGCTGTAATATAACCAAGTCCTCTTATTCAGAAACAGAGGTTATGAGTGTTGCTTATTGCATATTTCATGTGGGATATGTGATTGCGCACCTACCGTGTAAGTACTAGTGGACTTTGCAATTCAATATATCCCTCCTGTGTGAACGATTGCCCATATGTTGGTTATAATACTTTGGTTTTATTGCATGACTTAAGATGCATATAAAAGCCATACTCAAAACCTTCATTTTGCTTATTTTCCCCCCCAATTTCATTATTACTCTGAAGTTTTAGGCAAATGCAGTCAGTGTCCATCATTTCACAGAGCTGCATGACATCGTGAAGTAAATTGAAGGAAACAATTTCAAGAGTAAGAATGGTTAACAGCGTTTCTAGCAGTTTAATTTGGAGTCTGCAGTGATTCAACGGGGCGGGTTTCACGTCAGTGTTTGTTCTTCTAAAAGAAGAGATGACTAATATTCTGGGGCGTGGATCCAAGGAAGCGATCTGGTCATGAAAACAGAGCTCACTCGGAATCTGCTAGAATTGAGGAGTTTGGAGGCATCTCTGTGCCAGTGCTTGCTATTCCAATCACTCCGGGAGAATTGCTAAGGCAGGGAAACAGAGTTTGCAACACGCTGTTCTTTGAAACAAATCAAACAAAGACACTTTTAATCCTAAATTATACCTGTGCAAAAGTTGATATCCTGGGCGGCTGTTCAGAACATTTTCATTCTGATCACTTTCAAGCCTTGAGAAGGCGGTAAATATCAGTGTTCAATATTCTTACGTAGCTGTAATGCTACCCAGATTCATAGTTCTGCCCCCTGGCTTGCATTGAGCAGGCTGTCTCTTTTGTTTCCCAGCTAATTTAGCATTATTAAAGACACCTAATCCAATTATTCCTGTAACGCTGATATAACTGTGTCTGTGAGAATTCTCAGAGTGGTTTCACTTGTATTACTAGCAGCTAAATTACACCCAGTTGAACACTAAAGGAAAACTAAGAAGTAGGCTGAGCTGTTTTCGTCCTTGGTCTCTTTATTTAAATGCATTTTAAAACAGACTAAGGTTAGGGAGCTTCTTGCAGTGTCCCCCCTGGTGTCCCAGTCACACTAGATGGCATTTAAAGGATGCAGCTCAAGACGGAAGGGAGCTGCACTGATTTGCAACAGACGATACAAATAGGCCCTCTGATGTGCTGAGAAGAGGCAGAGAAAGAGAGGGAGTCGGAGAACAACAAATAAAGAGGGAAAGGAAAAAAAGAAACTTCTGAAAAAATATTCATGGTAGCGGCACAAACACACACTTGCCCACACGAGAGGGTTGGACGTCAGAGGGCAAAGTCCTCCCCATCAGCGACAGACACTCGAGCGGTGCTACAGTCTCCCACACACACTCCACCCTAACCATGTCACATACACAAACCCACTGACATGAAACAACTCACATTTTATTCTGGTGTGTCCTAAATGCAAACACACAGAGGCACTGAGACAAGCACATACGACTTACATAATAGCCTCATCACCACTTCTTTATTGTCCCCCCCCCCTCTCCATCTCTCTATTGTTCACCTCTCCCCTGTTTGTTGGTTTTAACGGCTGCTCGAACAATTACAATGAGGACACATGCGAATCACTTCTCTCTTTATTATCCCACGCATGCACTCGCTCATAACAGGCACAAGCAGGAGCACATTTGCAGTAAAACACAAACACATCGATGCCTTGTGATGACAAAACATTTGTGTCCTATAATGTCCAAGCTTCACTGTAATCCCAGCCCTGACTGGTAAACCTAAAATGGCCTCTTTTTTTTTTAATTGTGAGGTCCTACAAAATGGCCCAACGTTTTCTTCTTGCAGGGATTCAAGTACAGGCACGCACACGCACACGCACACGCACACACACACGCACACACTCCTGCACTGCAAATGAGCAGACAGAGTTCTCTTTTCATGTTCCCTAGGCGCGCTCTCCATCAATAGCCTCATTTTGCCTCTCTTCCCCTCCTGCAGTATCCACTCCTGCGCCTGTTTCAAGCCATCCTTTCACCCCTCCTTTCCTCTGCTTCTTTTCCAATACTCAGCCCTTTCTCCTTGGTTCCACAATAGTCCGAATATTCAGGCGAGGCTGCGGATATTTTAAAATTCCCCACACATCCTGTGCACAGCAGGCGTGTTTATTTAACTGACCTCTACTTTTCCTTCTCTTTTATCCCTCTTTAGAATCCTACCATCGACCAGTGATCGCTTCCTGTTGAAGAACTTGGTTTCCGGTGCGGACTATAACCTGTGTGTGCTGGCCATTTTCGATGACACAATCACATCACTAGCGGCGACAAAAGTCCTGGGCTGCGCCACGTTCTCCACTAAGGATGTTTACCCAGCATGCCGCTCTCTACATGCCCATTTCCTGGGCGGGACGCTCACCATATTGGTTGGCGGTGTGGTTGTCGTCACCCTGCTCGTGTTTACCGTCGCGCTCATGGTTCGCCACCGCGTTTGCAATCATGGCGACCACATGATATGTCACAGCGGGAACACAGAGGCAGGGGGAGGGGCCTGCTGTCAGGGTGGAGTGGGCGGGGACAAAGGGGGAAACAGTGGTGGGTGCTACCAATCGAATGGATCTGGGGACGTGATGATGGTGGTCCTGCCCAATGGGCTGCCGTCCAAGAGAGGAGGGGAGAAGGACAAGGAGAAGGACAAGGACAAGGAGAAGGAGAAGGAGAAAGAGAAGGAGAAAGAGAAGGAAGAGGCTGATGCTGCTTCCTCTCTGGTGCCAAAACCCCCTCCAAAGCCCAGGCCAAAGCCGAAAGTCAACCTGGAGCAGTTTCTTTCAGCCGGGGGGGGTAGTTTCCACGACAACAGGGGCAAGTGAGATGGCATTGGTGGTCAGGCAAAGAAAGCTGGACAAGGCGCCGCCATACACGCCGGAAAGTGACAGAACTCCCCTGTACTATTCCCCTTCCTCCACCCTGCCCCGACTGTCCCACTCGAGGGACCGCCCGAGGCCCCGTCTGGAGCGAGAACTCACCACTCGGGCCAGTTTCTCTCTGGCGGCCCCCCTGGGAGACTCAGATCTGTTGGACTGGAGAATGAGTTCCCGCAGCCGGGACAAATGGAACTCCTCGCAGGCTTACCAGAGCCCTCTGTCCCCGCTAAGCCCCGCCTGCGGGACCGTCAGCAAACGGCGGCACTCGCTGGACATGGGCTCCTCTGTCGCCCTAGCAACTGCTGATGCAGCCGCGACTGTTGCCAAGCGCTATGTTGCTGGTAATTATGCCAAGCGTCTGAGCGTGATCTGGACGCGGCGGAGCCAGTCTCTCCATGGGATGCTTGTGCAGTGCGGCTCAACGACAAGCACGACTTCCTCGACGACCAGCGACGAGGAGAGCGGCGTGGGCTACGGAGCGCACTGCGAGTTCCAGAGGGGGTATATCCACGCGTACAACACCACAAACTCCAACTCTAACACTGGGATCACTGCCGGGAAAGCGATCAAAGACAGGGGGAGGCTAACGGGGAAGGACGGAAGGAGTGCTGAAGAACTCGAGGAAAGTGTTGTGTAGGGCGTTTGGGAATGTAATAAAAAAAGTTAGGAGGGATAAAGGGTCGGTGAGAGAGTTTGATTCAAAGAGGGCGAGTTATGGGAGACATTGAGGGAGCAGGACAGGAGAGATGAGTGCAGCAAGGTGGTGAGTTTAGAGAAGAGTGAAATTCAGAGGTGTATTTGTGAAGCTCCTTGAGGAGAAGTAAATAAAAAAAGGTGAAGATTCAAGGCTCTTTACACCTGACCGTAAGAGCTGGAAAAATATGTTTGGGGAGACATATGACATGAAAAGGGGGAAAGTAGAAGAAAGTGCTTTACCATGGCCTTTCAAAACTGTAGGCAGTGAAAAATGGAACGATACAAAATAGAAAAGAAAGGAAGAACACAAAAACAGAACTCTAGACAAAGAGAGTGACAGATGTAAGAACAGACAGAGTGTAGTCACAGGGAGAGACATCATCCTAAAGGGGAACACATCAATAGAGCAACAGAACAAAGGTTATTCAGCAGAGACAGAGATGGCGTGAGGATCTCAGTAAAGCCTGTACACTAATAGAAGCAGACTCCTGCTAACACTTCAACTCTCCAGGGCCTCGCCCCCCCCCCCCCCCCAACACACCACCAGGGTTTACACCGGATCAACAACAACACCGGTAGTTCACCTGGCTGACAAATTACAACGGTAAAAAAGATTTGGATGACACGTCCCCGCTTTGTTATCTTGTTTTGGACTCTATTGCTGACGGCCATTTTGAAAACTCTTTTTCCAAAACACGATGAATGTGACTTTTATGTGTCCTCTGTGGCCGGACAATGATTTTGGCTGGCCGTGCCTGTGGATTATGGGAGCATAAATACAGAGCCGGGCGCATTGGACATGATCAATCGATACTGGCTGGAAAGAGCGAGTGCAGCACAGACATTATTAAAAGAAAGACATTGGGATTACAATGGAGTCGATATGGATTACAAAATGGAGCAGACGGGGGCATGATGGAGCGTGCGCGTTTCTGAAAGACCAGATCATATTGCCGGATGATAATGGACCAAAACCTATGAACAATGCTCATGGATGCATACATGTGCATGCATTGCTGGATCAGGGATAGGATGTGTGTGTGTGTCTGTGTCTGTGTGTGTGCGTGTGTGTCTGAGTTAGTGTGCGCACATTATATGAATGTTTGTAAGGGGCATTCTATTCAGCCAGACTCCATTTGTGTTTCATGAGGTTTAGCGCTTTCTGGACATGTCGTGAATGGAATACATTTTAACATTAGCTGTGGTCCACCCAAAGTGAAGTAAGAGTGAAATGTTTAAAAATCATTTTCACCCAAACCAGAATAAATCACTATTTCCAGCAATGTAGCATGGTCAGAAACGCTAAAGGGGGATTTACAAATTCATTTTTTGTGACTTCAGACTCCTTTGTGCCACATGGATTCAATTTAAATCCATAAAGTGAATGTTTTCAGGAAGAAGCAGACAAAAAAATATATGACAGAATGGAAGCCAATGACGATATAAACTCTCCTTCAAGACTTTGTTAAACTTATATGGGACGACTGATCCGACGGCACAGACCACAGAGACTCTTAAAAACATCTATCAGAGAGAAAAGAGTACATATATATAGTATATATATAAAATGATGTTACTTGTCGCACCATGTGTTTCTGTTTTTCAAAGTTTTCTGGGGAATGATGTTAGGATCAAATATAAAATGTGTGATTTTTGGTTTTAGACAAAAAGTCTTCATCACTAGAACTAAAACATTTTCAACATAACTAGGCAGAGAAAGACCAAAACAGATATGGAAGAGAAACAAGATACACAAACTAGCAATTACACATACACCAAAAGACAAACACACACAAAGAAACAGAGGCCTATAAAACAGAGCCAACTGCATTAATGATAATAATGACTTTTAACCATTACTGTTGTTTCCTTTCTGTTTTTATTTCATTTTGCCAAAGTCAATATTGTTCTCTGGACTTGATATAAATAAAAATTACATGTATGGAACAGAGATGGACTCTTTAACACAAGACAGCAACGTGTGTTATGTGTGTGTGTTTACACATGTACTTACTGTATGCGTGAAAATAATTGACAGTACGCCTGACACCGTTTAGTGCATTAACATGTTTCTAACTCAGATTTGAAGACAATAAGGTGTTATTTAAATGATAAATATGTTAGTGACTTGGATATAGATGAAGGAAAATTCTTTGGGTTTGGAGAGAAATGCTAAGATGAGTCAGATGGAAATCTTTTAAGCTTAAGGCAATCGTCTGAGTCACAGAAGCTTTAGCGCATGCATGTCTGAGTGGAAAAAATGAAGCTGTTTACCTGTCAGTCAGTGGACTTGATTTGCAGATAAGGGTGAAGTAAACCTTCTCGAGGTAATTAAAAACAGCACGAGACAATGATAAAAACAATTCTTAAAAGAGAGTCAAACTGAGGAATAGAGGGAGATCAATAGTCCCGGGAACAGATGGTAATGCATTTAAAAAGACAAAAAGATGAGTAAAAACAGAACCGGTTTGATATGACACACAGAATAGGAAATGATGTTGAAGTGACAAACAGATTGAGAAATAGAAGGAAAAGAAAGCTGTCAGACTAATGGATTGCTATGCTGATGCTTTGTTATTACCAACTATGCGCGCTGGTTTCTAATGTAAAACATTACAAGAGCCTTTTGCTGCTCCCTGCAGCTGAGTTAAATACTAATTTAGCAGCAAAACAAAGGGGTTATCTGGCAGCAATCTGCAACTAAACAGAGCTGATTGAACTTCTACAAATAAAGATGAGCAGGAGGAGAGACAACAGTATATAAAACATGAACTAGTAAAGGAAAACATTGAATAATTCATACATTATCCCTGCGTCATCTATCTCAGAGAACTGGGAATCCTAATCATTCCCCAGGCTTTACCGGAAGTATAATCCCACCTTGATGTTAAGGGTTTGCCTCTAGTTCCCATCCCAGTAGATGTACCCAGAATACTTCCACTGGGAGTTGTATGGATTCAAAAACATAAGGCTAAAATGGGGTTGAATGCTGCTCTAAGCTGCACACTGATGCTCATTCCCAGAAGGATCAGCAGCATCAGCATTAAAGATTATCGTTTAATTTAAATATCAAAAGCAATGCTTATGCAAAATAAAGCCTCACATCTGTGAAAAGAGAGATCAAGGCAGAACGTTTCTTAAAATGTCCCTAAATATCATTCTGTCCATCTATACCTATCCTCTACTGTGTTTTCAGTTTCTATTAAGCCCTTTGCAGACACTGCTAAAAGCCTAAAATGGAGTGTGGAAGATGTGGAGAGAAATACAGAGAGGGGAGGGGGGGGGGGGGAGAACGCTGACAGACCTAGAGATGGACAAATAGATGATGATGAGAAAGGGAGAGAATGGAAGGAAGGTCATTGTGTTTGGCTTTTTTCGTGTGTGTGTGTGTGTGTATTTGCGGCTGTGTGTGTTTGCGGCTGAATGTGCTCGTTCTGTGTGTGAGTTGGTGTTATTTTTGTCACGTAAGTACTTTGCCACAATTTATTACCGGGAAGAAAAAAGATCCTTTAACAACAAAAGGATCAAATGAAACTAGGGGGGGGGGGGTAACAGGTGGGTGTGTGTGCATGTGTGTGAGTTGATTAATGTGCGAAAAGGGTTAATAAGATCTCTTGCCTCTTGAGCTTTACACATCCCAGAGTGGTAGACAGTGTCTTAATTTGATGCCATCAACAGTGACACCGGGAGAAATAAAGAAAAGAGAGAGAGTAAGGGTTTTCGTATGTGTGTGTGTGTGAGAGTGTGAGTGAGTGAGTGAGTGAGTGAGTGAGTGAGTGAGTGTGTGTGTGCACGTCAGGACATCGGGTTAGAGGACAATTTGATTTGAAACTTATAAGTGGATGCATTAAAAGCACGAGTGAGTCTGTGTACCTTTGAGAAAGAAAGAGTCACAGTGTGTGTGTGTGCCTGCCTGTGTGTGTGTGAGTGCACTCATACGTGACGGGCAGGAACAACACAGCGTAGAGCACCACCCCTCCCTCTGCTTTCTGTGCCCAAGGCGAAACCCTGGCCCAATTTGACTAATTAAAAAATGCTGAGAAACAAACACACACATGCTCACCTTTAAATGCACACGTAGACACACACACACACACACACACACACACACACACAGTGAGATAACCTTGTGGCAGTGGTGTTTGAGTGTTGTTTGAGTGCCTGTGTGTCTTGAAAGGCCACGGCTGCCCGTAGCCAAACTTCCTCTGACATTTGCAGTTATGATGAAGATATGATGCATTTCCCTGCAGTGTGCTGAGTAACTGCTGAGTCAGGCTGCACACACACACTCACTCAGTGTCTCGAGCAATAGAAACCAGTCGGACCAGTTCTGCATCATACCGATGAAACACAGTTGAAATCAGTGCAACCAGCTCTGCAGCACAAACAAAAAGGTAGATCATCACATCAAATATGACAAACCAATGACATCGCCATGGTTACTGCAGCTGTGTCACATATGCAGTCTGAAAGTTTGATGTTTTTCCTTAAAGCATTACAAAATACAAAACAGCTGAAGAGTCCTGAGGCCTGAGAGATCCCCCGGAGTTTCTTAAAAACATGACTCAACCTTCTGTAACTTTGTCGAGGCTCAGACTGATTTAATAGGTGCAGACATTGTGACTTTCATGGACAAAACTATTCTGAGAAGAGAAGCTAGCAATACTATAAAAGAAATCATCTCACGGTTTAAAAAAAAAAAAAAAGGTTTTATATGAATTAATGAGAATATACACGGCATGGTGAAGATGTTATTTAGTGACAAGAAATCACGTGTTGCTCGAATCTTCCGATTTCCCGAGTTAGGAAGTCATTAGTCTAACTTTGTTGTGTTCTTGCTTTAAGTCGAAACAACATGGACGCTAAAAAGAGGAAGTGTTGTATTCATTTCTAAAAGGGTTTAAAAACAAGTTAATTTGAATGTTTGGGTTATGTTTCATCTGAGTTTCTGTTCTAAAATTATAAAATACACCACAGTTGAGTCATTTTACTCGTCGTTTAAATGTACTGCCAAGGTTTTCTGCCATGTTCCTGAATTGCAGACAATAGATTTTTGAGTAATTACCATGTACCAGCTGTACCTATACCTATTTAGTTATAGACTGGTCTCATGCATTAGCATACGACTCATTGTGCGCCTCTTTCGTTGGACATGTGAAATAATGATGGTAATGCCACCATTTTGACAGGATACTTTAAATTAAATACCAATCTTAAACATATACAACCACCCAGACAGTAAAAGCAATTAAAGTTTTTCAGGAGAAATGAAGGTTAATTCCTACCGAACGCTCATATTGAGCAAGTGTTTAGAGAACTATTATAACTATCAGATCTGAAGTACTAGTGTAAAGTATTCAGCATAGCAATGGAGAGAAAGAGAGTCAGAAAGATGAGTAGATTGAGGTAGAGAGATAGCCGAAGAGAGGTAGATAAAAAGATTGATTGGATAGCAACAAGGGAGGGGAATTATCTTTTGCCTTTTTAAATACATTTTCTTATGGTTTTCAGAAACTCACAGACACTAGACAGGAAATAAGCATGTTTAGTGTAAAATGGATACCCTCAAGTAAAGGTTCATTTGAAACATGCTGAATGTTCATAAACAGGAGCACTAGCAACATGAAAGTGTCAGCGATAGCATGTTTCATTACGCCAAGGTAGCTAATGACATGCTACGCAGAGCACCTTCAAAGGAACAGATGTGAAAAGACGTGGAAGAAAAGATGGAGGACAAAGGAGGAGAAATGAAGCTCGACTCGGAGCTTCTTCAAGGCTCGACGCATAATTGTCTATTTTTCTCTTCGTCCATTTCTTTATTTCATTTAGCTCCATCTAATTTGCTCTCTCCTTCACCTCCACTGACTTCTCATTCAGTCATTTGTTAGCTGCATTCACTCCTAATCTCTACCTCTTCCTGACCTCTTTGCTGCCTCGTGCTCCTTCAATCTCAAAGTCACTCTCAGTCTTTCGTTCAGTGTATTGTGCTTTAGTGACTTAAGAAAATATCCTTTGTTGTCTTTGTGTCACACTCCTGTAAAGAATGCTAGGCTTCTTCTCTTTATCCTTGGTTATTTTCCTGTTCTTTATATTAAAGTATCTTAGTGTCACTCTCACGATTTGTTATATCAGTACTTCCCTTCTCATACTTTCATATTCAAATTCTTATCTCCACTTTTATTGCTTCACCCAAATATGTTTTGGCACTTTATCTTTACCTCTCTGACCTTGTCCCAGTTGATTTCCTTCTTTCGGTTTATTTCCTCCTTTCCTCCCCACTCCTGCCTCCACCTCAATCCCGTTTCATTTCTCTGGCTCGGCAGCTGCATTTTAAAATGTTTTTGCTTTCCTGGAGTCTCGCTGTCCTTATAGGGTTCAACTACCTGTTAGGGAAATATTTTCCAAGGCCCATAACTTTTGACCCATACTGTCCTGACTGAGCACACGCACCTGTAACCTTGGCTGCTGTGCTCTCAGTGTTTGGCCTCCCTGTTCCTGCCTGTTGGCGTCAGCTGATAGAGGTGTTATGATTCTATCTTGTTATGCACAATGTTGATTATTCTCTCTGAACTAGCTAAATACATGGGTAGAGTTCTTCAGAATTGACGTGGCAACTCTACCGTGAAGTCAGAACGTCTGACTCTGACTTGTTTTGTGAATTCTCCGGCCGAAGCTCCAAATAACCCATCAGTGTTTGCCATCAAAGCTCCAGCTCTCCATCGTGTCTCTCTGAGTCCTGACTCCAATTGCTTCAGAAGTTTCCCCCACACTACCTTCATGAGTACATGCAGAAACTAACCAATGTGAGGCATGAATCTAAGTGAGAGTGTCATTAGTGAAGTAATTCACATTCACTCCATGATAATAAAGCTTCAATGTGTATAAAGTTTTGATTTGAGGCAAAGATCCTAATGTAGAAACTTAATATAGTGTTTTTTCAATGCTGAAAAGAAGATGTGTTCTATTCAGCAG